CGTGGCGACCATCTCTTTGAGCTGCAAACAGACACAAAGCCATCAATGAATCAATTCATAAGAAAAGCCAATCAAATAATTCATTGCATATAAAAAACAAACAAAAATTAGTGTTAAATAATTACTATTCAAATGACATATAATTTTATGCAACGAATGGCTCAGAAAATGAAGGAAATATTAATCACAAAAAATTATATAATAAATGAAATTGTAATACATTTTAGAGGAAAAAATATCGCATAAAAAATATATCTATAATAAAAGTGTAATAATTATAACTAAATGGCAATTAAAAGCCCAAAACGGTAACACTTAGTGAGTGAGTGGTGTATATGTGTTGACTTGTATTGACTACCTTTTTGATGGACTCATTGTCGTTGATCTCAAAGGTCTCCTTCTCTTTGGCTGTTTTGATGAAAATGCAAATCTTGCGCACGTTTTGGTCAGCAGTGGTGTTGGACTCTTCATCCACGGCTTCAGCCATTTTCGACACAACACTTATAGTCTTATAGTCTTTACGAATATATATACAGTATATATAGCTATTGAGCGCACGATTCACACCAAACAGACAGTGACTGCAATTGATTGCCACAAACGCACCACTCGTTCAGAGCCAACACAAGCCAAACACTCATCACAGCAGAGCATAGCATAGCATAGCGTAACCAAAGCATACGTACGCTTACGTTATGGCACAACAATTACGGCATACAATACACACAGCTTTCGCCCCACAACTGCCCCCCACTCTCATCACTGCTTTCTTACCGACCGCACCCGTCGGCCACCGCTGGTCACGACTGGCCACCACTCGTTTCAATCACGTTCACCGTCTGGTGTGTCGATTGTGTTGTGTTGAGTATATATAAACACATGATTGAATGATATTGAGTGTCACAAATGGGCCAAACAGTGAATTGTGAGCATTGGATGTGACGGTGGGATGAAATTGTGATGCAATCAGTGTTTAAATGTTGAAACCCCTCTTCAGATACACCACTACTCTATTCAATACAACTCTTTATTCAATTAGTTTAAGGAAATTAATTCAATTTGAATTTATTTTTTATTTGACATACAATTGAATATTTTTAATGACATTTTATTAAATATATTGTTGTTAACGATTGAATATAATAAGTTAGAGGTGAGCATAAAAAATATTTTTTAATTTAATCAATATTTAGTCCCATCTTTGAATATATGGTGATTTTTGTTGAGATATAATTAGATATGATTAGTAATAGAATTGAATTTGTATTCAAATATTTAAGATTAAAAATCTATTTTTAATTCACTTGCGATGAATACATAGATTACTGCATTCAAAGTCTGCTTATTATTACTGATTGACAATTTTTAAATTAAAAGTTTTTGTAAAGCATTCATTAAATAAGTATGTATATGAAGATATCTATCAAACTATGCATTTATAAGCAATTAATAACAAATACTTAACAATTGTTCGCTAATTGCGGTCTTGTCGTCATTTATAACCCACTATAAACTTATTGCTGACGAAATAAACTTTTCAAACTAACTTGTAAAATTAAAATTACAAGTATTGAATTTTGCCAAGTCATTGATGCAATCATACTCTCTTACCTCGATTTTATGAACATTTTACTTCTAACAGCCCTTGATTCTATTAAAATCTCGTTTTAATAAACATTTAATTCTCACTCTTACGAGTTAGAATTGAGTGTAATATTTAAGTAAATGTTACAATTAAAATACTCTAAAATATAATACTGTACCTATTATATCCACAATATTATAAAATACCATTAAATATAACAGAAATACATTTAAAGTGCATAATTAGTCCGGGTCTTACTTATAATAAATGTATCACATCAAATATTTTAATTAACAGCAAGATTTAAGCATAAATATAAAATTAAAATTTTGTTAATTTTAAATATTATAACTGTAATATACATGCATTTATTTATTTTACATGTATAATATTTAAATTGAATTAAAAGTTTTATTATTGAGTTTAAGTTAAAATGTTTAACACAAGTCACAACATCCCATATTATGATAAATTTAGAGTTAAATAATTAAATATTCTGTTCACACGATTACCGGTAATCCGTATAACACTTAAAATATTTAGTCATCGGCTCATTTAGTCATCGGGTGCAGCCTCTGCCATACATTACGTACAGTAAAGTTAATACAGAGCCGATGACTAAGTGTGGTTGCAGTAATCAATGTTTTGGTGGTTTTGTAAGTTATATACACTTTAATGATTGGATGTGTTATATTGTGAACAAAACTTATGCATTGTTTGCCGCAAACAGTTTCAGTTCATATTTACACAATAATTGTTAACTTAATTCATTGGACAAACTTTCAATTGAATGAATTGAATCGTTTACTATCTCTCGACACTATATTTACAACATATATAATTCAATAAGGATTTAATTTTTACAAAGAATTGCCTTTTTTACTTGAATACCAATTAATTTGGTGAATAATCGTTACCTTTTTAATTCAATTAACAATGAGTTATATCCTTTTTCTTGGTAAATAAAATTAACCTCAATTTTTGATAATATGTTAATTAATATGATTTTATTGTTTATTTTACTTAATAATCAAATAAAGAATATATTTTCTGACAATTAATTACATTATTCTTGACTTATGTTTGCATTTAAAATGGTATATAAAATCACAATATATTCTAATTGTATAAATTAGATTAATTTACAAAATAAAACAAAACATAGTTATAAATTTTAAGTAACATTAACGCCGAGACATAATATATAAGTAAATGCTATGATATTTATAAAACATGACCAATAAGTAAATGATATGTTGGAAGTAAAGCCACTATTCGTTGAATCATCAAATGAACGGTTGTATTGTCGACCGAAAAAGTTTTTATTCGTAAATTTGTTGTCATTATTATAAATATCGGTGTTTTTGTGATTATTTTTATTAAAACTTTGTCGTCTATTTGTTAGACTTTCCTTAAATGAGAGTTCGTTTATCTCAATGGCTGTGAGAATTGGTTTGCGAAAAGAAATGGGATTTTTAGTGATTAGTAGATAAATGTGTAAAACACGAGATAAATGTGTAAAATTTTATAAGCAATGACTGACCGTATAGTTTAATTGTAGCCCTTTGTTCTCCCAATGCATTCTTCGCAAAACACTGATAGTCTTTTAAATCTTTGTCTTGTAGTTCACGAATGGTTAGTTTTAAGTGCCTTTTATAGCCCTTTGATTTAATACTAATATCGTATCTATTATTTGTGTCAAATATAACAGTGCTATCGTTCAGCCAATAGCTAATCGGCGGCGGAAATGCCTTTAATTTATAAATTATATACTGAATCAAGAATTTGTCATTTCATTCAATAGTATACCTCTATATGACAGTCAATCGTCACTGACTTTCCTATCGGTGCCCTATAATAGATATATAGTTTGGTATAAATATTTAGATTAAGATTAGTTTGTATTTCAAGACCACTTAAATACTGACCCGACGGACTGACTTGGAAGCCATATTTGCGGTGAAACTATATAATAATGTAAAAAATGTATTTAAATTTTAATCAAAAAGCTATAAAATTTGTATGCAATTTAATTGACAGTTGTATTTCAAGTGCTAATGTACCTTATTTTACAAATTAATATTAAATTAATGATTATATTTTAATAATGACTTTAAATTTACTCTATAATTGAATTATTGAGTGCATTACACTTGTATATCATATGTAATGAACAGCTTTTCTGTTGTAATGAATTTATGTTAACAATTGAATTATAGTTGAATTAAACACTCTATGAATGCATTTGAAATAAGGCTAAAGTTTCTTTAATACTATACTATATAATTGAATTAATACATTGACGTTATATTTAATTCAATTGTCTATTTTCACTAATTTGAGCTAAATTAAAAAAATTTTTAAGCAATGTTATATAAATCTCATTCTATTTTTATGGTAAACAAACATTAATTTATTGATAAAATAACTAAATTGGCACTTTTTTTATTGCACTTAAATGTAATGTTAAAAGAGGTAATTTTTAAAATTTTGAATCACGTTGACATAATTTTTTGTTGTTTAAATACCATTAGTTTATTTAGTTTTAATAAACAAGTGTCTTCAGGGTAAAAGTGAACGTTGAAAAAATCTGATTATTTATATTAAGTTGTATATTACCGGAAGACTTTGAATATACTTGCGGTGCATATACCGTATAAGTGCATATAGTTGCGATTGTTTTATACCGATTATAAATACAATTAAAATTTACTTATTTTTGACACACAAATCTAGCTGTATAAAATAAGTTGTATATTTAGTGAAATGCACAATTTATGAAATTTACTTATAATTGCATGCCATTATATGCGACGTATTCCGGTAATAATAATTTAAAAATTAAATATATACATACATTGGACATGTAGTAATATTCTTCGGCTTACGGATGGCATAACACCTATGAATTGGAAAAATGTTGAAATAACACTTGTTATTGAATGATATTATTATACATAACAACACCCGATGTTTATCCATCACTTTAAGATGGATTGCATTCAAAATTAACTCAAATCTATTATTTTTTGATATCCCATCACTTATTCTCATCGATTTTACCCTTATTTTAGTACAAACTATATTCAAGAATATAATATTAATATATTTATTTAAGTTAACTAGATATTCCAACAAGTTTTTATACAGTAAGTTATTATAATTCAGCCATCAATTAACTCAATACATCACTGTCTCTATACTGTATTATTAATGTAAAATTTAAAAGCTACTTCAATATTGAGTTTAACATAAAATTAATTATTTATATTAAAAAATATTTTTATTATATTTCCCAATTCATTGCTTTTCAATAAAATTTGCATTAATAATGACTTTTATGGAATCGTTTTAAATGAAAAAAGCCCTAAAAATGGATATATTTTTATTAACAATAATAATATTGAATAAATGCTATACTTTTTTAGATAATTGGATATGTTTTTAATCATAGCTCATTTAAAACTTATTAATATTAAAATACATAAATATATAAACATATCAAATAATAAACATATGCATACCGTTGGATGCAATGCAAAGCCATGCGCCCGAATGCACCCTATAATCAATTGTTTAACAAATTTTATGAAAATGTTATTTTGTTTTGAATAAAAGTAATAATAAGTTTATTAATCTTGTAAATACCTTGTAACTCGTGTTATGTTTAGATTCTCGCCCTCTGTTTTATTTGCTGAAATAAAATAGTAATTTATAAATAAAAGTATGTAATGAATGTCATTTCAAATGATTTAAATAAAGACCAAGATGTTCGATAATTTATAAATAAGCTACAGAAAAGCAACAAAACACTTTTAAATGACTAAATATAAACCAAATATTCATAAAAAATATTAAACATATTTATAATACAAATATATTATACAAGTTAAGTCAAAATCTCAGTGGAATATATATTTTTTAAAAATTTGAATTTTATATTTTGCGTGAAATTTTGTTTTCTAATTACAATACAGTTTAAATTGTGAGGTATTTATAACTAATAAGAAATATGAATAATAAATGCCTACTCATGTATCGCCTCCCCTGCCAGTCCCCCAATGGAATTCTTTCGCCATCTTCTCGTCTCCACTTATTTTTGGCAACAATTTTAATATCAAATCATTAAATATTAAACACTTTTAGAAATTAAAATATAGTAGAGATTACTGTTATTTCTGGCGTAGGATAACCTCTGGCCCGACATTTGAGATTAACATTAGAGCCTTCGTTGACTACAACATCACTACTGCTTTCGTTAACAACGATATCGGGCGGCACTAAGACATCCAAATACCCGATTTGACTCTTCATAGGAACCGTATTTATTTGACACATATATCTGCAAATTATATTATCATTTATAATATTTACACTTTATGTTAGCCATCATTATATAATCTGAGGCATACCCTCCGCGGTCGGACTCCTTGTGTGGCAATAAATAAAATTTGAATAATTTTAAACAGTTAGTTGAGTGAATTAAAATAAAAATGGTTAAAACAAACATGTAATTTAGTACACATTACCTGTACATTTTTAATAACAAGTATAAAATTTCGATTATCGTTATGATTGTCCAACAAATTAATGCGAAAGTTGCGAGTAATCACGTGATGATGTATTGTGAGAATGTCCTTCTCCTCCACTCTAAGCCAAGCCGCCTATCAGTTGACATTCATATTAATATTTTATAAATTATAATCTTATATTATTTTTAAACAACATTGTTATAGTTTTAAAAGGTTTTACTGTGAATTCTATTGAAGTAATTTGTCGTAATGTAGTAATTATAGTATAATTATTATTGTTATTTTCTAAATGACTGTATTTTAATGTTTAATGTAATGTTAAATAATGTATAACTAATATTCTTACCCGATATGAGCCTAAGTTATTGACAATACACGGCATTCTTGAATCTTTTCCAATAGAAACTGTGATGTTTGGTATACTATCACCAAATTCTGGCATTTCTTCGCCGTCGAAGATATAGTTTTCTTTTGGTTAAGGAATAAATAAATATACCATTAATTTATGCTAATTTTATTTTATATTTATTATATTTTGTA